TAAAGTTATGGAATTTTTTTTCACGAAAATAAATTGTCACGCACAACGAGTCTGTGTGCAAAATGTCAGCTCGATTGGATCACGGGAAGTGGGTTTAAAACGACCGAAAGATTTGCACGGTCGTAAGCGCGCAAGCAAGCAAGCAAGTGAACTTAATAGAAAGGATTTAAAAACAGAACCAGGGCAACCGACCAAACTAAAGAGGGAAGGCCAGTTTAAAGATATGGGTTTTCAAAGCAGACTTAAATATATCCGCCGACTCTGATTGCCTGATTTCAAGTGGCAAGGCGTTCCATAGCTTGGGTGTCATGCTAACAAAAGCCCGATCATGAAAAGAGCGCAACCTAGACCTGGGAGTGCTGAGCAGTTGGAGATCACAAGATCTTAAGGACCTTGATGGAATATATACATTTATTAGTTCCTCCAAGCAATGTGAGGTGAGCCCTTTAAAGCCTTTTCGGTTAATAGCAGTATCTTAAAATCCACTCGGAATTTAACCGGTAACTAATGAAGAAAAGAGGACTGGTGTAATGTGCTCACGTAATGGTGTACGTGTAAGTATTCGAGCAGCTGCATTCTGAACAAGCTGGAGTCTTGTTCAACTCGGGATAACACAAAAGCATGCTGCAATCGTCAACGGCAATGGTTGCCACAATATATCCCGTTGTAAAAATCTCGTTGCTCAAAATATGAACAGGTCTGATCACAGTTCCCCCTTGTGGGCAACTGGGGTAGCAACTACCAATCAGCTCAGAGTGAGCTTACCTGAGTACAAGCTGTCACGCTCTCTTTATTTGAAAAAAGTGTGGGATCTGGACGTGATTGTGTGAGATGATTGTGTGGTGGTGAGATGGTGTAATAGACTAATAATGAAATAATGTGGTGAGATGGTTATATTCTATTCTTGGGTATAGAAATATGTTCAGGACAGTGGTGTAACTACATTATGTAATTATGAGCGCAGGGGGTGCGGCAATCGGTCAGTTGGGACCCCAGTCCAGGATTTGGTTTGTCTCACACGGTCGTACCGAGGCTTTATATCGCGGCTCTTTTTGTCTAATCACATCACATACCTGTCAACCCCTTATCAGTACCAACCATATAATAATAATGCAATTTATAACGCGCGCAAATTTGCGGACCTAACGGCCGCAACTCAGAGGCGCAGAGCCAAGCTCAGTCACTCGAAAGCGTCTCTTGAAGGAGACGATTGAGGTGATGCTGCGAATGTGCAGAGGCATTGCATTCCAGACTGTTGGGGCAGCCACCGAGAAGCGGCGCATAGACGTGACCGTCCTGAATCTTGGTATCAAGAGGAGGTCGTAATTCACACTGCGAAGGCATCTGCCGTGTGCTGTGCTGCAAGTCGTCAATAATGACGAGAGGTACGGGTGACAAACCAATTGAGACCTTATTGGTCACCCTCTGCCCTTACAAATCTCAACGTTCATCCTCCAAAGTTCCATCACAAGGGAGAAACATAAACAACAAATTTTGTAGGCCCGTATTGAAACGGATGTACGCCGTATGGACCTGAAAACTCAATTTCCTTGTACAAGAATACAGGTCAACCGTATGTTCTTCATTACGTTCACGGTCTGTTGGGGTGTTCCGTCTTTGCAAAATGCAGCCAATACTAAATGAAATAATTTTTATTAAAATAAAATTTAACTGCGTTTTAAATAAAGTTTTTGTTCTTTTACACTGTTGTTGAAAACATATCTCATGGTGGTTGTCAAGGGAGCCCCAATTCGTAGCTTTGGTCACCAGAGGGGCCAAGGCACCCCCTGCCCCCACGCTCGTTACGTGGCTGGTTCAGGAGCGAAATGGCAATGGCGAGGTCTGCTCATCACGAAAGGGTTTCAAGAGAGAGTTCATGTCGTTTTGCTATTCTTCCACTGAAGCACAGTGGTTTGCTATATGGTCCGTCCATAGTTTGATTTGCATAACGACAGTCACACTGTAGTTATTCTTTATTTTTCCAATTACGAAGGAGATGTGCGCATTGGTCTGTTGATGTTCTGATAAAGTTGATGGTTCCACCATCGTCTTCGTGGGGGAATGCCAACGCCGGGAGGTGTGCGATGTCTGGGTCTCGAATGAAGTGTTTATTATGGACATCTCCATTGTTCCACTGTTCACCAGCGTTCTTCCGGATCTGGGTGATATTCTAGGATGCTAACAGCGCAATCCCAGGAGGGTGAGGACTTCAGTCGGTAGCAGAGAACCTCGTTGAGGTCTTGGTTGATGGGTAAGTGGTTGTGGTTGGCAATACAACGTGTAAACTCTGCAGTTTGCATGGATATTTGAGATAGTGAGATGTGTAAGAGACTAAATAGTGGGATAGTGTGGTAAAATGGTGTCGTGAGATGGTGTGAGAGTATGGGGAGTAGGTGTGATAGTTGGTATAATAGAGTAGCATTGTGTTGTGGTGAGATAGTAGGGTGAGATCGTGTGGCGTAATGGTGTGGTAACGTCGTGTAATGTGATGGTGCGATGAAAGTCAGGAGGGATGGTGTGACCAGTCGAAGTGATGGTGTGTCGTGATGAGCCATAATGGGCCTCTGAGCCTTTCTGCAGATTTTACAGTCCAGTATTTAGACACATCATTGCTAAACAAACGTAATGCTGGATAGAGAGAACTTCATCACCAGATGTTATTTCTTGTCAACTTTCAATAATCGCTCATGATTAATGCAGAATCAGAATCAGATTATTTCTACTGGAGGAATCCGACGAGCTCTCCAGCTATTTTCACACGTCCAGTGGGGGCAGTTAATAACTTTACAAAAACAAACAAGACAAAAAACACGAGAATAAATTTCTGGTGATAGTTGCCGGCAACTAAAATCACCCCTGCAGATCATGGCCGTTTTAGCACCGGGTGCCTAATACGGATCCCTCGGAGAACTTAATGTTTTATAGAACCACCTATGATCGCGTGTGATATAAGATTCACTTTAGTGATAGTATAATGTTGAAAGAGTATATATTCGTTTTGGGATCTGTTTTAAATACAACTGTGAATCAAAGTTGTCACCATTACGTTTTGTTGCTGTAATGCGGTGTTGTTGTTTATTACGTTTTTCAGCCAACTGGCCAGGATTGGGTAAAACTTAGCAGAGCACAGAACGAAGTGTTTATAACCTAAAATTAAAACAAACAATGACTATATAAGAATGATAGTTAAGAAACAAACAACATATACTATTAAAGGGGATTCAAATAAAATCAGGAATCTATGAGCACGGCAAAATAACTCATTCAAATCTACGAATCCAACAATGGAAACAACCATAAATACACGTGGGATTTATACCACATGAAACAGGCTTAAGACTTACAAGGGAAAGTAGCATAAAAAATATATAATCACACAGTTTTTGTAATTTATATTATAAATTAGCTTTACACTCCAATATCCAATATCATCAGTAGTAGCGATGCTACACAGACCTTTATGCCCTGGCTCATGAGTGCGTGCTTTTGAATATATAGTTAGGAGTCTGCTTCTTGCCAAAGTGCACTTTAGGTGGGTGCGAAAAAAAATAAAACGGTTAGTCTTCATTTGAATTGTGAACCTAACGGATTTGTGGAAAACTGCTCGCAGAACCTTTGCCCTTCGTTATCTTTGCTCCTAAAACTGAAGAGAGGCAACCAAAACACAAGAGATAGCCCATCATAAATAGCCATGATCAATCTACTGCTGGGTAAAGGTTTCCTCACATTGTCACTTTCCTTTACAGTCCAGCAATGCCCAGGGCTGGAAATGGGAAGAAATTATTGGGTGCGCCGCTGTTGCAAGATGTTATCTCCCTCGCCTGGTATCCAGGAGGTCGTGGGTTCTGACCCACTGTACAACTGACCACATCACCGGAATCTGCTAGAACTTCCCTCTGGCAAAAAAATGGGAAAAATCAAGTAACAAAACTGATTAATGAAGCCATCGAGGAGTCATCCTCAGTGAGGAGCTCGCATCTGGCTCCAATTCCAAATGGCTCACATGGTGGAGCCTAAAGATACTGAGAGTGTGTTTCGACAGATACAACTCTCTCATGAATCGTGGGGCTTTTGCAAATCATGCATCATCTCCTGAGATGCCCTGCAGCACCCCAGTGCACTCCTCAAAATTTGGCAATGCTAACACCAGAAGCGGTGGCCTGTGCAGGATATTGGAAAATCACTATATTGGTTGGGCAAGAGACACGAAGAAGAATAACGTGTGTAAGTCTCTGTGCACATCTGTGGGTATCGATGTGTGTCTGTGGGTCACTATGTGTGTCTCTGGGTCTTTGTGTGTGTCTGTCGGTCTCTGGTCGTCTGTGGGTCTCTGTGTGTGTCTGTGCATGTCTGTGGGTCTGTGTGTGTGTCTGTGCATGTCTGTGGGTCTCTGTGTGTGTCTGTGCATGTCTGTGGGTCTGTGTGTGTCTGTGCATGTCTGTGGGTCTGTGTGTGTCTGTGCATGTCTGTGGGTCTCTGTGTGTGTCTGTGCATGTCTGTGGGTCTGTGTGTGTCTGTGCATGTCTGTGGGTCTGTGTGTGTGTCTGTACATGTCTGTGGGTCTCTGTGTGTGTCTGTCGGTGTCTGTGGTCGTCTGTGGATCTCTGTGCTTGTCTGTGGGTCTCTATGCATGGCTGTCGGTCTCTGAGCAGGTCTGTGAGTCTCTGTGTTTGTGTATGTATGGGTATCTGCACGTGACTGTGGAACTATGTGTGTGTCTGTGGGTGTCTGTGCACGTATGTGGGTTTCTGAGCATGTTTGTGGATTTCTGTGAGTGTCTGTGGGTCTCTCTGTTAGTCTCGGGGTTTTTCTGTGAGAAAACAATAATAATCTTTCAGTATTTTCAGAATGCAGTCAGATTACATTCTTACTCTCACTATGGTGTTCCGGATTGTTCTGGCCCATGGGTCAGTTTGACTTTCTATAGAGCATGTTATACGGTGCCTATGTAAGCTTTCTCTCATAAAACTCTCCAAAAATAAAACACTCATGCCCCCACAGCAACATAGTAAATGAGTTTATTATTCTGTTTGAGCGTTGTCACTGGGTGTAGCCCTGCCGCTGCACAAGGTACACGTCTCGCGTGAGGTGGCTGACGAGGCAAGGCATCTGCTTCTTGCCATTGTGCTGTTTGTCCCTCGAATTCGATTGGAAGCCTCGCGCAATGCGGTGGGACACGCGTGTGAGAGACTGCACAAGCTCGACGCGCTTCTCCCAGGCTCGCGTCAGCTCAAGTGCCACGGCCTCGATGAACTGACAGCTGCTGAGGTTCGGCCGGTATGAAACGTAACCTGGTTAGATGAGGGAGAGGAGAAGGAGCAGCCGGGAGAAAAGAAACACATGGGTAAATACGTAGATTCATGTGCTGTATTTATTATATGAAAATAGAGCACGAATTATAAACTCAACAATTTTATGCCAGAGACAGAGCTGTCGAGAGTGCAGGCAGTACAACTGCACCGGAGCTCATGGGCCAAAGGGGTCCAGGTATTGGGTTACAATGAGGGGGGGGGGATTTTACAGGGCCCCCCATTCCATTACCTGCACAAGGGTCCATGCCGACCACGATACATCACTGGAGTGTATGAACATTTTTTTGTAAGCAGAAAAAAAACTCCTCTGCACACACCTTCCGGGGTGGAGTAAAGTGTGAGTGTCTCGGGTGGGGCAAACAGGTCGTCCTTTAGAATGCAGGCCTCGTCCACGCTGCTGCTAGCATCGTCTGTGTTTCCAGCCTCCTGAGTTGGCTCGCAGTCCCCACCTTCCTCCAGCTCAGCGCCGGAGTCAGAGCTATCACCACGGCAAGCCTGAGCACACGGCCCCAGCAGAAGATGCAATAATAACGAAGTTTTATGGTGGTAGGTGGCCTCTAACCTTAAATCGGGGTTCAGACCTGCACATAGCTCTGGTAAGGGTGGTCAATTATTTACTTTTGTCAGCAGATAAAGGCTTAGCCTCCTCATTCTGCTAGATCTAAGCACGGCATTTGACTCCATTGATCACAGACGGGGTTCTCCTTGAGCAACTGGAAGTTTTAATGGGGATCTCTGGCCTAGCTTTGTTCTGGTTCCACTCTTAATTAAAGCATCGTAGGTACTACGTTTTCAAAGGATGGCTTAAAATCACCAATTAGACCGGTTCTCTGTGGTGTTCCGCAGGGATCTGTGCTTGGCCAATCACTTTTAGACATCTATATGGCACCATTGGGTACTCTGCTCCAACATGTTGTCTAATCCTAGCATTGCTATGCAGATGATACTCAAATTTATATCTGGTTAGGGCCAAACTATGCAATATCATCATCTGCACTATCTGCATAACTAAAAGTAGTGAATTAATGGTTGTGCCAAAACATTTTGCTACTAAATGCCGACAAGACCGAAGTCATATGCATCGGCTCCCCTCAGCATCTTTCTAAAATTGGTTTGCCTCGTTTGTTGATTGATGATCAAGATGTCAGTCCCACACAGGAGGTTAGAAGCCTTTGTGTTCAGTTTGACTAGTCATTATCCTTTGAGGCACATATATCTAAGGTGGTTAAAATGTCCTTTTTCCACCGAAGAGATATTTCCAAAATGCATCACTTCCTGTCACCTGCTGACATGGAGAGACTCGTCCATGCTTTTGTGTCATCCCGACTCGACTACTGCAACGCCTCAGTGGTTGGGATACCGAGCAAAGCACTGGGCAGACTCCAGCTTGTTCAGAATGCAGCTGCTAGAGTGCTTACACGTACGTACACGATTACATGAGCACATTGCACCAGTCCTCTTATCTCTTCATTGGCTACTGGTCAAATTCTGAGTGGATTTTAAAATACTGCTATTAACCTATAATGCTTTAAAAGGGCTCACACCACATTACTTGCAGGAACTAATACATTTATATATTCCATCAAGGTCCTCTAGACCATCTGATCTCCAACTGCTCAGCACTCCCAGGTCTAGGTTGTTCTATTTGGCAGTCGGGCTTTTGTTAGCATGGCACCCAAGCTATGGAATGCCTTTCCACTTGAAATCAGGCAATCAGAGTCGGTAGATATATTTAAATCTGCTTTGAAAACCCATCTCTTTAAACTGGCCTTCCCTCTTTAGTTTGATCGGTTGCCCTGGTTCTGTTTTTTTGTTTCCTGCTTTTCATGCATTGCACATTGTGATCCTAGGATGGAATGCGCATTATAAATTTGAATTATTATTATGATTACAATTATGCCGCTTAATACACAATGCTGCTAAGTTTCTGGCAAGCTCAACTGGGACACATGGGCTGGCAGTCTCTCCCTCCAACAGCCCTGTCCACTGTTCAAGTAGCTGCCACCCTTTGCCCACATCACGAGGCGAGCATGACGCCAGAACATTTGGGCGACACGCTGGGACGTTTCGTATGTTTAGCTCATGAATCACCGTCCCATTCCTATTCACAACCATGCACTCACCTGTATAATGAAGAGCTTGAGTTTGTGTTCCCAGGCTTTGTTGTTGAACAGGCTGTAGATGTCCTTATAGTACACCTTGGTGTCATCGTAGCACACGAAGTATCCATGCCAGCCGTGGCTCATGATGACGCACACGAAGGCCTCTGCATTTTTCCGATTTTCCGCGACTGTGCACAAATTAACATCATTGCCCAAGCTCAGTTAAAGTGCTGACAAATGGCAGAGTCAAGCCTTTTGTATGGAAATAATATAAAAATCATAATAATATACACTTCTAAAGAGCCTTTTAACAAGAGATCACAAGGCGCTGTACAAAACACACATGCGTGCGCGCAGGCTCACGCCAATAAAATCCAACACCAAAACAAAGGATTCCAGAAATAGAAAAAGTCCGCGAAAAATAAATGCTTCTTAAGGCGTGATTTCAATAAAACGAGGGGGGAGTCAGCAGAGTGAACGTCAAGTGGAAGTGAATTCCACAGCCTGGGGGCCTCGCGAGAAAAGGCCCGGTCACCCATCATCCTACAGAGACGTGACCTCGGCACACAGAAAAGGCCAGACTCAGAAGACTGAAGTACTCTTGTTTGAACTTGTGGGCGAAGGAGGGCCTGTATAAATGAGAGAGCATCGTCATTGAGAGCCTTGTAGGTATGGAGAAGAATATTCAACTCTACTCTAAACCGGACTGGCTACCAATGGAGAGATGCCACCATGGGGGGTAATGCGATCAGCAAGAGGGGTACGCGTACGAATCCTGGCAGCCGCATTGCAATGGACACGAGTCGGCGAGTGGACACAATGGATTGGAAAGTGTGAGGGATAACTCGAGGTGGGACAATGGTGATCGTTGAATTCAAGGAGACTGTGTGTCATCTGTGCGACAAGATAAAGGACATGTCCACGACTCGATGTTCCAGAGAGGGTAAGGACTAGAGCTGGGCTTGATTTGTCAGATCAAGTTGATGAATGTAATATAAGCTGTAAGTGACCACTTTCTGTGGACCAAATGGCAGCCTCACCAACGTCCTGCCTCCCGAAGGCAGGAAACCCCCATACAAGCCACGCCCAGTGTGACGCGGCGGTGACGGTGCACATGATGTTATCAAGCCCTGCCCATTACCTCCCGTCTGGCGGCACACCTGGGAAGAGAGGTGAGAACGTTGTGTTGTTGTTTCTAACTTTTTTCCGGGCTATCTGATTAAGCCGAGCAATCGAATCGACAATCAGTGGAGAAAATCAAATCCGCAAATAATGAATCGAAGAGCCGAGCAACAGTGGATCAACAGTGGAGGCAGGCAGTGGCCAATGTTCGTCTGAACAAGGAGACTCTTTCAACTGTTAATGTTGCTGTTATCATAATTGTCACACAAAGAAAGTCACCTAGAACTTCCGCTTTTCTTTATGAGCAAAGCGTAGTGACAATAGCCCTCTGAAAGACCCTCATAAAATCATGAAAAATAACTTCCCGCGGATGGGGAAAGTGCACTTTCGTACGCAGATAAATGGCATGCCTGGTTCAAAAGGTGGGGTGTTTTTATAGTTTGTGCTTCAAAATAAGTGGTTTTAATCTTTTTTTAAGTTTTGCCCCGCCCCCCCCCCCAACTGCCTCACCCCCCTAATCAATACCTGCGCCCTCTTCAACCTTTTGCAAGACTTCTGACCAGCGTGCAAGAATAGGCACACGTACCTCTGAAGGAGCTCTCTCCTCGAAGGAGCTCTCTCTCTAGAGAGCTCCTTCTCTCTCTAGAGAGCTCCTTCGAGGAGTGGAAGCCCTTCGGTGAGCAGTGGCATGAGCAAGCCATCGCCACATCACTACCTCCTGCTGTTGAAACGGATGTCAGACGAGAGGTATGATTGCGAAAAGACTCACATTTTAGGGTTGCAGAGCTATATTTGCTGACCGTTGATGTCAGCTAAGCTCGAAGCAGACAAACGGCTGTGCACACGACTCTGTGTTTGCTATCGTAACATCCTTCATATTTACATCTTGGCTTTGTTGAGAAAATAACGGGGCTTATTACCAGCGGTGATGGATATGAGCACTGATGATTATGCGAACGATGTTCCAGAGAGGGTAATTTGGCTGACTCTTCCATGCTGGCCAAATCTCTTGGAACAGGTGGGAATACCCACACTTAACCCCACCAAAAGTTATCTGTTGATCAACTATTTGCATTGTAGAAATGTATTCTGTTGAGCAGCCAGGGGTGATGGGATTTAACTGCCGAGCCGGGATTAAAGTCCTGTGTGCTAACCATTACATCATAGTAGCATCCCTGTCACTCCGATCACAAAACTGCAGTATTTATTGAGACATTATAAAAGCTGATTAAAAAAGCAATGAAGACCTCTCATGTAAACAGCCTCTAGAGCAAGCTGTGGGAAAAGCCCGTGGTCCTCTGACAGTAGCCAAACCTCATAAACAGTATTTATGAAAACCGTATATTGCATTAAAATGTTTCGCAACTTTAAGGAATAGATTTAATGACATATAAAGCTGTGCAGCATTGCATGGTGCAAAAGCTGTCCACCTTATATGGTAATTTTGTTGTTTAGAACCACCGACTCAAAAGAGTTAAGAAAATAGTAGCTCATCCCAACAGTGCAGCAGTGAAACAAAGACCGGGTTTGTCCTAGTTAGGATATGTCAGACCATAGAAGGTAAAACGACGCAATGCCTGATCCATAATCATGAAGGAGACATTACAGCGATACATTCCGCTGCTCCTGACGCGGTTATCTGGCTTGACCATCTGATTGTAAAATTGTCGTTCTTGCTCTGCATATACATCAGCCATACGAAAGAAGACGTATAGTGCATGTACAGTCATCATTGTTCGCTGCTGCAATATGCGTCCGGGTGGCCCTATAAATAGAAAGGACTTGCACCTGCATGGCCTCAAGTCCTGTTTACCGTTGGAAAGTTTGTCGCACAACAAACGTGGACAGTTTTCTGTTCCTACCCACTCAGCAACACGTTACTGATTATTAACCTTTGAGTCGCAACGCTACTCAGCGAACATGATTAACAATCGTAAGAATCTGGAACACCTCAACTCATTTACCCTTTCCAGAATTGGCATGAATCCGTATCTCCACAGACATCTAATCAGCCCTTTTAGCTTTCAATAAAATGTTATTCAGCAGCATTTGTTGAAGCAAGCAAACTCTGGGCCAGTTTTGACCTTCTAGGCTGCATCAGCAGAGTCAGACTTATTAAACAAATCCTGCTGGGTTGCCAGATGTTATTGGTAAGAGCACTTCATCTTAACAGATTGCGATTATTTATCCGAGGGGACTAAGATGAGCTATGAAGCTCTCTTTCACAGATGTCCAGTAGGGCAGGGTCAGCTAGTTAAACAATGTGGGCCCCAATTCAATGCAAAAGTCCACCGCGGTTGTTCTGTGGAATAGCTGGCCCCAACCGTAGGAACGTGCTGTTTTCATCACAAACTCAAGGAAAATAACACGGATGTGTTCCACCCCATGCTCGAGTCGAATCGTGCTTTGCTGAGTGCTAATTTCAAGCAGCCAGTCCAATGTCGGTACTGAACCGCATGTGAATATCTGTGTTGTTGGCCTGTGTGCCCGGCAAAACAACCCTCTACCTCCTTGTTGATGCCAGATGATAACGTTGTGGTGAGCAGTGCCGTGGGGGGAGGGCCAATTTCGATTGACCATTCCCCTCATTGCGTTTGTAGCCACCACAGCAGCCAAATGGGGGCTCTGGATGGGTGCGAGGGGCCGGTAACCCCTCCACCTTCAAATAAATGACCACTATACTATGAAGAAAATATCAAACGAAGCTTGTGCCAGAGGCCTAGGGGGGACAGGCGTCTATGACGTCTCCTGGGCAAACCCCATTTGGCGGAGTCAGGAGACTGAATCCTTACCCTTGGGATTCTTCCACAAGCAGCAAAAAGCCACTGCGGGTGGCCACGTGGAATGTTCGAACGCTCACTGCGGATGAGAGGCTGCCAATCCTCTGTCAGGAGCTGGACCGGTACCGCCTGGATCTCTGTGGTATTCAGGAGGTCCGGTGGACCGGCTCTGGATCCTGCCACCATGAGGGGTGGACAGTTTTCTACTCGGGTCAGGAGACTGCCAAACAACAGGAAGTGGCTCTTCTTCTGAACAAAATAATGAAGGTGTGGGAGCGTGGCGGTGAGGTGTGGGAAGCTGTAAGCCCCAGGCTACTTTGGGGTCGCCTTCCCACAAAGAGTGGTGGTCGTGATTACTTATGCCCCCACCGAAGACGAACATCAGTAGAGGGATACAGGCAAGGCCAATGAGTCAGATGCCTTCTATGACCTCCTGGCACAGGTGCTAGCTAAAATGGCCCCTCGGGATAGAGTCATTCTGTTGGGTGACTTTAATGCCCGAGTTGATCATGATGCTGGCACCTGGTCTGAAGTGATTGGAATGCATGGGCCAGATCAGCTCAATAACAACGGTAGGAGGCTGCTAGAGTTTTGTGCAGCCCATGGGCTTGTAATTACCAACACGCTGTTCCGGCATCGGCACATCCACACAACATCATGGATGCATGCCGAGTCCAAGCAAGAACATCTGCTGGACTGTATAGTGACAGAACAGCAGATGCGGGCCCATGTCCTTGATACCAGGACCTACCGTGGAGCTGATCTGCCCACTGACCATAGACTTGTTATCTGTAAGATGCTCCTGCAATTCTTCCACTCCGGTGGTGGGTGTACATTCAGGACCCCATTCAAACCCATAGTCGCCTGGTCTCAGCTAGCTGATGAAAGTTGCAAGTGAGAATTGAATCATCGCTTGCAGCTTGGGTTGGCACCATCCACCACTCCTCCGGATGTCGAGGGGAAATGGGCGAGGTTTAGGACTGTGGTTTATGCAACTGCAATAGCTGCCTTGGGTACACGGTCTAGACCTTCCCAGATTCCCTGGCTGACAGAGGAGGTGTTCAGGCTAGCTGAGAAAAAGCGACAGGCCCACTCTCATCATCTACAGCATCCCACGTCAGAGAATGAGGATGCTTACCACAGCCTTCACTCGGAGGTTCAGAGAGCCATGAGGCGCTGCAAGGATGGGTGATGGTCGCGGGTTGCTGAGGAGATGGAATCTGCATCAGTAGCCCACGATCACAAATCACTCTTTAATTCCATCAAAAAAGTTACTTGTAGTGCCACACATATCACTATCATTCGGAGAAAGAACGGTGATCCAATCTCCGACCCCCAGGAACAGGTTTGCAGATTTGCCGAGCATTTCTGTGAGGTATTGGGGGAGGAGAAATCCCTCAGCCTGGAAAACATGGGGCAAAGTGGGGATGACCCTGCTGAGTCTGCGGTGCCTCAAATATTGGAAGAAGTAGTCACCCCCTGTCAGTGGCTGGCTGAGGTGCCATCTGTTGAGGAAGTACTGAAGGTGATCCAGAGTCTGAGACCAGGAAAGGTACCGGGCAGAGATGATCTCCCAAGCGAAATGCTGAGGGAGGGTGGCGTTTGTGCACAGGCTGCCCTACATGACATCATAATAACATTCTGGACCACTGGACGGGTTCCATAGGGTTGGAAGGATGCCCTGGTGGTCCCCCTCTTTACGAAGGACAGACTGTAACAACTACAGGGGCATCTCACTCCTCAGTGTGCCGGGAAAGGTCATGGCAAGGATTATTCAACATCACCTTGTCAGGTACACTGAGGAGAGGTTTGAAGAGCCCCAATGTGGTTTCAGGAAAGGGCGGTCCTGCACATATGCCATATTTTCTGTCCGTCTGCTACAGCAGAGGTGTAGGGAATTCCAACAAGACCTACATCTCTGCTTTATTCACCTGGTCAAGGCCTATGATACCATTGGTAGCCCTGGGCTCTGGGTTTTTCTTCGTACTTTCGGAGTCACTGACTCTCTGCTCACGATCATTAAGGACCTTCATGATGGTGAGCCCGGGTAAAACTACATGGCCGGGAGTCGGAGCCATTCCCTGTGCAGCTTGGGGTGCGACAGGGATGTTCTCTGGCTCCCACATTATTTAACATCTATTTCGACCACATAATTCGTGAAGCCTTTGATGGCTGTACCGGTAGAATTTCCGTCTGGTACAGATACAATGGGAGGCTGATCGATACCCGCGTGTGGTCAAGGGATGGCTCCCTATTGGTCAACCATGTTATTTATGCCGATGATCTGGTAATTGCTGAACACTCAGAGGAGGAGTTGGAGGTGCTGCTACTGAACCTGGAGTATGCCACTAAGAGGTGGGGCCTTTCCATTAGCCCTACCAAAACTAAGCACCTATCTGGGTATTTCGTACCATCAGACACTCCACCCCCACAATTCCCAATTGGTGATGGGGAAGTTGTACAGAGAGTGGAGAGTTTCCCATACCTAGGCAGTGTGCTCATGACTGGCTCCGGTTTGACAACAAAGGTCTCACTACAAATCAATTGAGCGGCATTATCTTTTCATCAGTTGCATAAGGCTGTGTGGAAGCTACCTGGTCTGTCACTCCACACAAAGCTTCAGGTCTTATTGGCGACAGTCATGCCCTCTCTTCTCTACGCTTGCGACACGTGGACCCCCCTAATGTAACATCTTCGCCGGTTAAAAACATTTAGGCTGGCCTGCCTACGATCCATCCTGGGTTTAACCAGGCTGGATTGTGTGAAGAGCTCACAAATCCTTGAAAGAGCTGGACAAAGTCCCATCGGTGAGCTCCTCTGGCAGGCAAGGCTGCATTGATTGGGTCATGCAGCCCGCATGCCGAGCCACCGCATGCCTAAAAATCTTTTGTTCAGCCAGATAGAGGGGTTAAACGGGCGCGGCACAGGCTAGAGAAGAGATGGAGTGATGTGGTACAAGAGGATGTGGAGCTGAGTGGACTTGCCGATGACTGGTACCAGCCGTGTCAAGATCGACATCTGTGGAGGAGGCTCGTGAAGGACGCTACTGAGCAGTTGGATGCAATTACCCTCCAACAACAACGGATGGCAGAGGAGCGATGCTCACAACAACAAGCGGAATGCCAGGTGGGTAAAGCACAGCAAGTTGGCACAGTAGGGGGCACAGGTGGTGCATCGGCCAGTCATCTCAGTCAGTCGATCCGTGGCACCTGAGTCTGCCTCGTGACCTCCTGCCAGCGGGCGTTCGACACTTCACGTGGCCACAAAGTGCACATAGCCTGGCACAAGCGCCGTGGTGAAGTCACCACCACTTAGTGGCGAATGGCAGTTGTTGTTGGCCTGTGGGCGCAGCACTGGTGCAGTGGTTAGTGCACTGTGCTACGAATCAGTCGACCTGAATTTAAATTATGCCCACGACTAACATAAACATCTGAATCAGTCCTGAGCATCTCCTTGGTCGACTCAGCCTCAAATGGTGTGGTGTGTGTGAAGGGAACCTGGTGTGACACTGACCACATGACCCTCATTGTGTGTCACGTCGGCTTTAATAGGTCTTCACTAACAGCACTTTACCCACCAGCCAATGTGTCTATTCAGTGAATATTTATCTTTATTATTGGCCCAAAAACTGACCTAACGTCAGAACGTTACTCAGGAGGTGATGCAGTGGACATACCTTCTTGGAGCGCCTTCATAATATCATCGGAAGTTTTGTCAAGTAACAGATCGACTTCGAATCCGATTTTGCCCAAAATCCTGGTCATGATCTGTTCATCTTTCTGGGAGCCTTCTCTATCCTGCAGCTCCAAGCCTCTCATGAAATGCACCGAATTAATGATCAGCGCCGTCCCACTTGACACCTCCAGGGGCGAATCATCTCCACCGGACAAGACTATTTCGCACGTCTCAAGCGGCATCTTCTCTGTCCCTGCAAAACATAATGACGATTGAATTAGTGCTTTGGTGAAAGTCAATTTGTTTAATAGATTAGAATACAAAAAAATCCTGGTGATGCCGTTTATAAATAGAGCTAGGATTTTGGGGAATGGTAATTTTTTGAAAAATGTCATGGCCGAGGTGTGGGAATCAGACAAAAATTCACGGAAACAGTCACGGAATAAGGTATAAGTATCCCTCACCATGAAGTAGGGTATTTAATAGTTTCTACAGCTTTTTGAAACATTGCACTCGATTTTATGAAGATAAAAACATTTACGGGACCACCGTGACCCCCATGCCAAAGTTTTCGCCTTGTATAGTATGTATGTTGACCTTTCCATACCTGTCAACCCATACGGTTTACCTGTATTCTTGTACAGGGAAATTGAGTTTTCAGGTCCATACGGGGTAGAGCCGTTTCAATACGGCCAAAAAAATGTTTTGTCTATTTGTTTGTGTTTCTCTCTTGTGATGGGACTTTGTAGGATGAACATTGAGATTTATAAGGGCACGGAGTGACCAATAAGATCTGAATTGGTCTGTAATAAGCTAGGCACTGACAAGGGTTTGACATGTGTGTCTTTCGCACCATGCATAGCCAACCGTGCTAAGCGAGTTATGTAACCACGAGATATACATTCTTTCAGTGTCAAAGTGAAAGGTCAAAACATACCCATCCTCAATTGTGAGTAGGGCAGAGTTATCTCTGTTGGCGGCCCTGAGCCAGTGATGACGATTCCACATACCTATGACGATGGTCAGTATATCCATAGTACTCTGATACGTCCTCAAAACATGCAACTGGCCATTCGTGTACAAATAGAAATGGAAGACGATGATGTTGGAATTCCTGTCAAGTAAAATGTTACTGTATTCTTTGGGTCTTTCGGTAAAGTCACGTAGAATATGAATTCCTGCAGTCACGAAAGCTTTAAGTCAAGATTTAAAAGGTTACTGCTTTCCCGTCGGAAAAATAAATATTTTAATTTGTATCGTACTGCTATGTATGCTTTCAAATGGGCTCGATAATGTTATAACTAGTGTATGTATGTGTGCACCGGTAGTGCAAGCTGTTAGCGCGCTGCGTTACTAATCCGGCTACCCGAGTTCGATTCGCGCTCACGGCCAACACCAGTGACGATTATCTGAACCGGTGCCCTGGGCCTCCCCTAGGTCGACTCGGCCTCAAATGAGTAGCTGGTGCGATGTGTAGACATCGCCATTAGGGGGAAAAGGCGGCCGGGCGTGGTGCTGGCCACCCACCCCCTCGTCTACCTCTACGACCATCATAGGTGCTCGCTGAAAGCACTTGCTCCATCAGCCTGTTACGTGTGTGTGTGCGCTTGTGGTATGCGAGGTACCTGCTTGCGACACTCGATGTGAAGTGAGCCTCTCCTTGTTGAATGCCCCCACCGCTCGCTCGCCAGCCGTGCTCAGCAAACTCTGATACGTAATGTTCAGCGTCCTCGCCCCTGTACAAGGTGTTAAGGCACGTGGCTGGCTGGCTCGCTACCTGGCTGACTCACGCACGCACACCTACGCAGGGTACCGCGGTCTATTTCCTGCTGTGCAATTGGGCATCTTGAGACATCATTGCCTTTTATGCACCTCCCCCACTGCCACTCATATCTCCTACCCACCGATCCGTGCTTGACTCACTGCGCGTGCTAATCCTACAATCAGGACTTGAAAAAGTTACAGGCATTCCATGTTTCCGGTGACTGCGTGCTTGTGTACGTGTTGCCGCCCCGGGAGATCGAACTGGCGACCTCCGGATGACGAGTAGAGCGTTCTGCTGCCCATTGCACGCAACCGGTGTGCAGCGTCATGTACGACCCTTTGTCAATCCACTGGTTAATGAAGGCCTCATGGAGGTGGGGAGGAGTCATAATGGCCATACTTCAACTGCCTCTTTCACTGTCCTCTCACCCCCACCACCCTTCCACATCTCCACATTCTCAAAATATATCTGCCCGTCTCTTCTACTGGAAACTACTATTACCACTGTCCTCACGTGTGTCATCAACGTTTCCATTGCGGTCTGCGATGTCGCATTTTCAGCACCTCCAATGAGCACGGTTGGCGACGTACGGTGCGAAAGAAGTTCAACATACTGTACATAGTTTAACAAATAGGCTTTCACGACCAATATTATCCACAATAGAGGGGGTTTTTTTGGGGGGGGGGGTTAAATCGCGTAATTATAAATGTGTCATTAAACCCACCACCTCGTCACGCCATGTTGGCAAGATGTTAACTATCTCGCCTCGAATACAGGAGGTCGTGGGTTCAATCTCGACACCGACGCCTGCATATTTGCAGTTTGCATATCTCTCTCCCCGTGGTCGCGTGGATTCTACTCCAGGTCCTCCGGGGTTTCCCTCCACAATTAGAAACGTGCGTTTAGAATATTTGGCTGCTGTAAATGTCCACATGATAAGCCACTTTGTTGAGCTATCATTTGTGGCCAGGTCACTTCTGAAAAATAGCCCGATAGCTCAGTGACTCTTATCTGGTAAAATCTTTTTTAAAGAGTTTAAATATTGGCAAGAACACTTTATGTAAACAAAGGGGGCCCTATTCAACGCAAAAATCAACAGCGGTTACTGCCTCCCAACCATAGGAACGTAGAGTTTTCACCACCGGCTCAAGGAAAATAACATAGATGTGTTCCACTTCATGCCCGAGTCGAATTGTGCCTTGCCGATTGCTAAGTGCAAGCGACCAGTCCAATGTCAGTACCGATATGCACGTGGGATATCTACATTGTTAGCCTGTAGGGCAGCAGAGCCATTGCCCAAAACTTCGCCTATTATGTACTTTTCATTCTAAGGCCACAATGTTATTGACAAGTGTGTTGAGTTTGTTCGTTGTGCTTTTGTGCACCTATGCCAAATCAGCATTACCAAATAACGTATTCAGTCACTTGGCGTTGCTAAAAAAGAAATTTGTATCACCGTTCATCGCATAAAAAAATCCCGGTTAAAAAAAATGTCTGTTTTCCGGTTTTCCGCACATACAGAAACGCTTCGTGATAAACGTTATATGTTCACTATTTACCTGTGACAAACGAAGGGAACTGCCGCCCGTGTAATGGTTATCGCACTGGACTTGCAATCCAAATGTCGCCGGTGCAATATGATTGCCCAGTTCGGCCAATAAAACAACGGGGAAAGTTTCTTGAAGCCAAGGGTTTGTGTGTCTACCCGGCAGAATACGTGGCTTCACCCAAGTTAATCGGCAGATCTCGTGCGGTGGAGCAATGTGTGGGTACTCCCACCCAGTGCCGGATTAAGCTAGTGCGGCGGCTGTAGCATATGTTATAAAGGGGCCCTAAATTTTTTTTTACACAAAATTTTAAACACAAATGTTTAACTTGCATAGTAAAGTTATTGTATTTTTTCATTTGCTATACAGCCAGATAATACGACAAATCGCTAACCTTAAACACCCAGTCGTTCATAAAAGTTTAAGGCAGTATAGTACAATAGTAATAGAGCAAGTGCAGAATCACTAGAAACCGGAATTGATAGCTTGAAAGCGTTTAGCGCGGGACCCTTGAAAGTGCGGGGGCCCGTAGCATATGTAGCGGCTCTTGAAAAATTGAGTTTTGTACCGAATTTGAGAAAAAAATGTCTCTTCTTGTTGTTTTGGTTGCCGGCCCCTGCTCTCGATCTTCTTATCGTAGAAGCCCCTTCCACCAGCAGTGGCCGTGAGCAAGCAATTGTAGGGTTGCACCTTTACCTTCCGACTTAGAAACGAGGGCAAATCTACCAAGCGGTTACTTATGCCACCGTGGCGCGTGTAAATCATCACCACGATTACGAGACGTTAACTACCTCGCCTGGTATACAGGAGGTCGTGGGTTCGATCCCGACCCTAATGCCTGTATATTTTGTATGATTGGAGTTTGCCTGTCTCTCTCCCCGTGGTCGCGTGGATTTATCTGGGTCCTGCGGGTTTCCCCTCCACATTTAGAATCAGCATGCGCTCAGAGTATTTGGCTGCCGTCAATTTCCACATGATAAGCCACTTTGTTGAGCTATCATTTGTGACCAGGTACTTCTGAAAATATATATATCGCTCAGTGGACCTTACCTGCAGGTGAAATAAAAATAGTGAAATAGTTAGTTGCATTCACCGTAATATTCTACTGGAAATTATTAGCGGTTTCTGGCATCCCAGTGAGTTTTGGAGGTTTAACAAATCCGCACAATCCACCAACCCTTGTCTCGAAAGCACTGGGGCACAGGTGTGTGTGTGCTACTCCCTGCGAAAGTCGAATGCAAGAATGAAAAACACCCGTTGAGCGGGACTTTGGAACTTGAGCCTTGTGCAATTATGTTAACAGTCACACGAAGCCAAATGTATTCTGGAGCCCAGCTTTTTTTCTAGGTCACATTAAAATGATAAAAGAAAATCCGACACCACACATTGGGCCACAAGCACAATGCTCATTTTTCTTATCGGGGAAAATCCCCACGGAGACACAATACTTTTTGCAGGAGGATCCTGTTTGGGACGTTTGGGCAACAACATTCATGGGTGTTTGGCGTGCGGGAGAAAACCAGAGTACCCGGAGAAAACCCACAAATTAGCGTCTGTCTTTCCGACAGACCTGTTCTTCCCCTGAGGACGGCTGCTTGCGTTGTGGCCTAAACGTCGTGGGAATTGCACTTTATTGTGTTTTATTTTTATCATTGTATTATTTCCATTCTACCTGACTTTACCGAAAGAACCAAGAAGATGAATCCCTGCAGTCACGAAAGCTTTAAATCGAAATATCAAGGGTGTGTGTCACTCCAATGCTTGGCACATGGATTCAATGCACTTGCCGTACTGCCATCTCCTAAGATGCCTTGCGACTCAACGAAATTTGGAAGATGCACAAATGTGTGTGATTTGCCGACCATTTTCTTCTTCCTTCAAAGGGCTGGATCAGCTGACGTGTATTATTGTGTGCAGCCAAATAGAAAGTTCGCATGCCCTTTGTGAATTGTTGAGTGCTGACTGACTGCCGAGTGAACCGTTCGCGCAAAATTCGTCAACTTTGCCCTTGACTCTTGGCTGAGTTCGCAAATAGCGATAACGGCTGAACGGGCTAAAGCGGCGGGAGAAGTTGATTTATTTACTTAAGGTGACTAATGCGGGGCCCTGGTTGCCCAATGCAATGTTATCTCTCCCGTCACATAGCCCCGTGAGAAGACGGATGACTGGGAAAAAAAATACCGCCCGATTGATCGCTTCTCGTAAAATCTAACTGCAGTGTAGATATCCTGTTTGACATTAGCCGTTTGCAGCGCCCCTTTTCCCACTTCTAAACGGTGCATGTTCTTGTCGTGCACATTACACACAGAGAGTGCTTGTCACAAATGAACGACAATACCTTGCTGATATCGTCAAGAAGCATAAACGATCACGCGAACCTTGCACAGAAATGTCAGGCAATAGTTAAGTCCGTTTGCAATTAAGTCTTTCTTCCATCTCTATTCACTCCAGACCGCTCGCCGTTATTTATCTATCTGGACACCGGCTGAGGAGGTCGAGATAGAAGAGAGAGGTCTTGAGGCTGGACTTAAAAAAACAGCTGGTATCCGACCGACAGCGAAGATGGCCGGTGTGTGAGTTCCAGACATTGAGAACATCAGAGGAGAAAAAATTAACCCGTAAAAACAAAGTTTTTCACTATAAATCCTTTATATGCGTGGCGGCTAGAGTCCTCTCGTCCTCTGGCTTGAGATGGCTGCCACCTATGGGTCAGATGATTGCCTGCCACCATTAAGCAATTGGTAATTAAATATAATTTATTTTTTCCTAAAAAGTGTAAAATTTTGGGAAAAATTTTTCACGAAAATACATTGTCACGCACAACGAGTCTGTGTGCAAAATGTCAGCTCGATTGGATCACGGGAAGTGGGTTAAAAAACGACCGAAAGATTTGCACGGTCGTAAGCGCGCAAGCAAGCAAGCAAGTGAACTTAATATAAAGGATTTAATCAAAAGGAGCAACCTCATCATCTACTGGCACGTGCCTTTGTTTAAATATGCGCAGTAAGTTGAGGATTTTTGCTACGGCGCAATGATAGTATTTCGCTAATTTTACCAGCGTTCATTTATGAGTGGAGTGAGCAGTTGTAGCGAATTTTGTAACAATGCATTGCGCGCGGTTGCAAGTCTGCCCATGAGTAGACTTTACGTTACAGTATGTAGCCAAGTGAAATTGCTCTCCATCTGACGCCAGTAGACAAAACAACTGCAATAACCGCGACAATTGTTCCAGGTCAGGCGTCAGCAAACCAAAATAACAAGAAGAGTCATTTTTTGTTCATTCAAATTCAGTAAAAGGAAGAAGAAAAACCCTTCATATTTTAATAGCCTGCAATGCCACGTTGTGAATACGAAACGGTGGTCATTAATCAGCTTGCCGGTCTCCTTGTTCTAGGTCCATCTGTATGATCTCACACGCGTGACACATACCCACCTCATTTGAATTAAGTACACATATCCTGCCCACAGCGCATGGGTTTGGAAAGGTCAATGAGCTCCTTGAACAAAGACAACGCCAAGGGGAACCGTTTAA